AAGATAAACACTTTGCTAGCAGTATCATTTGTAATTCTTGTATCAACTCTGAGTTTGGTAGTATTGTATGCCCCTTTTTTAAAGAAGGAGATTGAAGCAGAAATGTCAAGGAAATTGCCTAGGACTACTCAGCCAGTTACCTTCAAATCCTAGCCTTTCTGATTCAAGCTAGAGAATTTCTAAACTGAAGAACTCCATGGATTCCTTAAACCTGCTGCTGTCAGCATCAGTACTCCCCCAATCATATACTGGAGGGAAAGAGAAAAGTTAACATGAGTATAATCAAAAATAAGGAATAGCAACATAGAAGGTAATAATTACCACTTATTAAACACTTGCTAAATGCTTTAGATGTTATCTCAATTAATTTATCATAGTAATCCTGTGAGGAAGGCATTACTATTTTGCTATTTTTAATTCAATCATTTCACATTATATAATGTATCAAAAGATCACTCTGTACCTTATAAATATGTATAATTATTATGTGTCAGCTAAAAATGATAAAAGAAAAAAGTGAAAAAATATATTAGCACCAATAAAAATACTTTTTGTTTATAACATCAAAAAAATTTGAGGAAACTGAAACTTTGCAGGTTTAATCAATCTAATAAAGGTTATTCAGTCATTAAGTAGCATAACTAAAATATCATTTATTTGATTCTAAAGCCAATGCTTGTAATTACTGAGCCAAATTATATTTCAAAGTTATATGGATTTAAAAGAAAAAACAAGCACCACATGTACTCACCACCAAATTGGTACTAAGTGATCAACACTTATATGCACATATGATAGTAACACTCATCAGGTGTCAGGCAGGTGGGAGGGAGGAGGAGGGGATGGGTATATTCACACTGAATGGGTGCGGTGCACACTGTCTGGGGGACAGACAGGGTTGTAGCTCTGACTCAGGTGGGGCAAAGGCAATATATGTAACCTAAACATTTGTACCCCCGTAATATTCTGAAATTTAAATAAATAAATAAGAAAAAAGAACGAAAATAAAGAATCTTGAAAATAAAATGTTTCTATGTTGATAGATGATTTTATTATTTTTATATATCTAATTTCCTGTTAAAAAATTTGTTAAACACTATAGATATGTGAGATGACAATAAGAAATGGATTTAAGCCCTCTGAAGGATGAGCACTTTCAATCAACAAGGCACTGACCTGTGATCTAGCCTAAAACTACATGGTCTACACAGGCAAAGTCCAACAGAAAGTTCAGCTTTTCTCAAAGGAAACATAGCTCTTTTTCAGATCTTATTTCAGAGGTTATGCATGGGTCAGTGAAGCATAGACACCACAGGGTGTCATATACAGTGGACAATTTAGGGCTGTTAAACAATGACTCCACTTCCACCAGCTCCAGCATTGCATGGATAGGACATCCTCATGTGCCTACCAGGCAAACAACCACTTAGAATCATTTCAAATCTTGTGGATAAAACAAATAGCTCAAATCCTGATTCCACCATTCACTAGCAATGTGAGCTTGAACAGATTACTCTGTGCTTTAGCTTCTTAATCTGTAAAATGGGAATAATAATAATGATTACCTTAAAGAAGTATCTTTAGGAGTGAAAGAATTAGTATGTGTAAGTCACTTCTAAAAGTGACATTACTAGTAAGCATCTAATAGCTGCTAGATGGGATTATTGTTATCTGTCAATTTATCTTTGTCCCTCTGAAACATTCTTTGCAAAGTAAACATTCTCTTAATAAGTATCAAATGACATGTGTACATGATCATTCACTCAGTATTGCAAAAGATTGAAAAAATCTAGATTATGTAATTTAATTTCACAAATTATGATATTTCAATGTGGAATACTAGCCAACTATAACAAAGAATTAAGAAACTTTTTATTAAATATGAAAATACCCCAAGATTTGTGCTTAAATATAAAGAAAGCAATATGCAGAACTGTGATATATCATTACCATTTGTTAAAAGAAATGAAAGGATACTATACCTTGATATTTGTGCCTAATATACCTAATATTTGTTTATATATGTATAAAAGGTCTCTGATAACTAAAAAACTAAATCTTTTTTTTGAAGTAGTTTCTACCTGGAGAGTAGGAACTGGCAGATGAAAGATAGTGGTGGGAAGATGACTTTCGCTCTAGATTTTTTTTTCTGAAATATTTAAACCAAGTTTCTTCTTTGATTAACCAACTCTGCTTTATTTATGTTTATTATTAACATTATTATTATTATTTTTTATACTCATCATTTTAAGCCCGTAGGAAGGGACCCTGGAAAGTTTTAACTAAAGAAAACTGAAAGAAAAATTTTAAGAGAAGAGGTGCTAAAAAACATACTTCATAATTTTTTTAAAAGTTGGTAAGCACCACCTAAATTTTGGATAATAGTCCATCTCCTTTTGGTACACCTCTCTGAGGTGTCATAGCTTAGACTGCCCATAACTCTCAAGATCTGTAAACTGTAAGATTTTGTTTCTTAACTGCAGATTCTGTAGTTGGTTGTGTGGGTGGCAGAGACTAGCACTTCTAGACTTCTAGCTACTTAGTTTAGACCTTTCAAATCTTCAGGCAAGATCAAGTGAAATACGGGATGTGTAAATCCTCCTGGAAGGCCAGCTTGTGCTCTGCTAGCTGCTTGTAGGACATAGATCCCAAGAAAATGAATAAAGGAGAGTGAAGAAAAGTTTTGAAGACTAACAACACAACACAATGTCTAATAAGACTCACAGCTTTATTTCTGCTAAAAAAAAAAAAGGAGGATAAATGGTCTTTATAAACAAAAGATTTAAACAATTGCTTTGCTTTATCTACAAGAAAGTCTTCAGAAGAATGAGGAGATTACCCTGGGTTGGAGAGCAGGCTATTTCCAAGCATATTGCATTACTAAATTTTAATTCAATTATAAAATCCCTCTACACAATCTCAGGGATGCCTGATTCATGAGTATTATATTCTCCAAAGACATAAACAAGATTCCCAAAAAACAACTCTGGCTCATTTTAGATGGAAGGAAAAAATCTAAAAACATTAACTTGCATAGCCATTCAAATTATTGCTGCTTTTTGTAAAATTATTACAAGTAATTTTTACTAATTTCCTCTTTTCCTTTCACTCCAAAACTCAGGATTTCCTAGCAAAATTATGAACTACTTTCCAAATGAAGCTTTAGGGAAGGTTTGCAAGCACATCTATGGGGTCCAAAGAATTTGCATGAAAGGAAGGGAGAAATAAATTAAATAAATAATATCTAATAAATAACTCAGAGGACATTCATTATGTACAAACTTAAATGCCAGAAAATTCTAACTTCAAGGATGGATCTTCCCACAACCTTTCATGAAGATAAGTGCCAGTATATAATCAGAAAGCACTTAGGATGGCATTTAAGTCATTTTACTTGCCTCTTCCCTCTGGAGCAGATTGCAATGAGGGGAACCATTTGGTGGCTAGTGGGTTTAAGGTCTCTCTGCAAGGCTGCTTTCAAGGGGATTTACAAACCAAGGGTGCAAAATACAGCAGGGTAAGTGCTGCAAGCAAAATGGGAAGAAAATAAGTTAGACTGTAAGGAGATAATAAATAAGAGGGATAAAAAGACAAGATATACATGTAGTTAGGCAGATTTTAGGAGACAGCTGAGCTATAGGAAATGATATACTAATCTGACTTATCAATTATATTCATTGGCCTTGTTGGTGTACTCTTCATAGTAAACCTATTCTCTTTGGGAGGAACAGAACATGATCCACCACCATGTAGGCTCTGGTTTGACTAAAATAATTGTCCTTGCAGATTGAAGAGTATAATAAAATTTCTCAGATCTCATTTTTCTGAAAAAAAAAAGATAATTTTGACAAAGTTAGTATTGCTATAAAGGAAAGAGGAGTTACATGGAGAAAAATCAATATTCTGCAGATTGGGTTAAACTTATGATGAAGACATCGTTGATAAAAGTATTCACTGACTTTGGATTTTATTTCTACATCCCTAAATCTGGTTACTTGAAATGTTATGTACAATATGTAATAGCAGATTATATTTTAGAAGTGAGAAAGAGGTAACAAATGGAGGAAATATAATTGCATATATGTTGGAAAAATTCAAGCTTGGTCAATAAATTGGTGCTTGTGCTTCTAGAAAATATATTGGTGTGGAGAGAGATCAGTAGTTTTAATCACATTTACTTTACCCAAATGAAATTCATCTTGCTAAAAAAATAATCCAGTGGTTTTTCTATTGGCAAGTGTGAACTGGACAGAGTTTTTGAACTATGATAGTTAGTATAGACAATAGCTATTTTATTGCTTCTTAATCTAAACCTGGGTCACGTGCTGGTTCCAATAGCAGCACCTGAGTTTCATCTGAATTTTCAGAATCTGGTTATGGAGGCCATGAAATGGTCTAGATGACTCCTCTATGTTCCATTATTCATAGGAGTCTGAGTGTCAGTTACTTCCTTGCCCTATTTCTAGTACTGAGAAAAGTGATTTGAAATATTACCAGCAATAAATTTGGCATGAGGCCTCCATTATGATTCTCAAATAACTAAGGAAGATATGTTTAACTCTCAGTCCAGTGAGAAGTAGAGTTAATCTCTTAAAGAACAGCCTTTGTTATTCACAGTGACAGCCACGTTAGAATTTTAGCCTCTGGAAGTGACTCTCAGATAGATGCAAAGAAGTCCTGTCATTAAGTCCAAAAAATCTTTACATTCTGAGAAGCAAGAGACATGTACTTTGTGCTCCCTTTGGCAATTCCATTTGATCCTTCCATGAGTAGCATCCATTTCCTATTATTGCTCTTTCAGTTTCAAGAAATTTATGAGTGATCACCAAAAGTTATAGAATTTTAGGACTGCAAAGGACTTTAGAAATCATCTATACTCAGAATAGCTGCCTGTGTCTTATATTGCCAGCAAATAAACAAAGACCAGAAATGGAAAATCCATTGGCATAGATTATTCCATGAGTTTTTGGCACCACTGGCATAGAGCTCAGGTCTTCTTTTCCATTTCCATAAGGTTAGAAGTCATCATATAGTTTCACTTGAGAACCCTCTAAAACAATCAATACAATGTGAGAAGTTGATGAGAAAAGAAGGTGATAGGTGAAGGAGGGCCTAAATGGACTAGGTCTATTGTGTTTGATGTATATCCACAGGGTTCCTTTAAGGTCATTGAATCTTCAGCTCAACTACTTGAATTACGGGAAATGTCTCCACATCATTCTCTGAAATGATGATCTTACTGCCCTACTCAGTGAAAACTGTATTGAGTTGGGTCCCAATGCCATGGTGGGGGTAGGAGTCATAGGACATGTCTATGGGAACATCATAGCGGGGGGTACCAGCCTGAAAGGAAGTTGACTGCACATGCCCTGAGGTTAGACTTGCAGAAGGGTAATGTGGCATGAAGCTGTAGGATTTTTCTAGGTCAGGAGAGCCATCTTGCTTCAAGGAGAAGTTCCCACTGATGCTCAAGGGTGGAGTGAGTGGGCCCTCATAAGGGGGTGTACCACAGTCAGGTGGATGGGTCCCAAAGGATGATTCTCCCAAACTCTTGAATACTTGAGGCTTGAGATGAAGAAGATGTGTTTCCATATGGCCATAAGGAGGGCTGGGGAGGCCTGGAGACTGATAGTTGAAGTTGTGGACAGATATGGCAGAATCACAAAGAGGAGATTTCTCCTCATGCTTCTCCAGGAGGACAGATTGAGGGCCCAGTTGGAGGCATCCAGCCACCAGGTTGCTTGTAGGCTGAGAGAGCCCTTTGCAGAGCATCTCCACAAAGCCCTTCCCTTCAGGTGTCTGGCCAGTCTCCAGAACTTCAGATAAAGCCCAAATATAGTTCCTGGCCAGTCTAAGAGTCTCTATCTTGGAAAGCTTTTGAGTTTTAGAGTAGCATGGCATGACTCTCCTCAGGTTGTCCAGGGCATCATTCAGGCCATGCATCCGAGTCCGTTCTCTAGCATTGGCCTTGACTCTTCGAGCCCTGAATCTCTCAAGGCGTGCTTTGGTCATTTTCTTTTTCTTGGGACCCCTTCTCTTAGGTTTCTCCCCGTCTTCTTCCTCATCTTCCTCTTCTTCAATACTGTCATGCTCTTCAGTTAAGCTGCCAAGCATCCCATAGGCATCTGGTCTTCTCTCCTCCTCCTTCATCTCGTTTTGAGAACCCAGACCTTTGTCCATCCAGGATGGTGTGTTGACCAGCTCTACCATGTCCTTGGATTTCACATAAGTTTTTGCCATTCTGGAAAAGGGAAATATCAAATGTTAATTCCTATGAATATCCTATTTAATTTAAAACTAAACTTTCTTTTTAAACCTTAGATACAGAGCACAGACTTTGCATTGAGATTTCACTTAGAATTATCCTGTCCAAGTCTCCAAATCATTCTAAATGATTAATACAACACAAAAGAAACACCCAGGGTATTCATCCAGTTATGGCATATTATAAGAAAAGAAACTATAGAAAAAGAAAATTGACTTGATTATTCATTGCAGTGCTAGTGCCTAAATCTTTTTGTCCTTAGGTTCTTTGCCTCATGTATATTTTATATAAAAATAACTAGTATACCAGTCCAGACATGTATTTTTCTTTCTTTGCAGAATTCAGATCACAAAGGAACATAAATAGGTGGGCATATAAATTATTTTCCAAATAAAGAAATTTCTGAAAGTGAAAGAGAGTGCTAAAATAATTACTATTATATAATATTTATATAATGATAATTACTATTTAAAAATGAAAAGCATATAAAACATTTATGGTATAAATAAATAACTAAATTGTTATATATTTACACCATAAAATAAATGAAAAATTGTAGCAAGATCGTTTAGACTACTCTGTATGTATTCTACAAAGGATGATTAAATCTATCCTATAATTTCCCATGTTTCCCATTGGTACTCCCAACTGGTAGCTTCAAGTATCTTCTTCAAGTTGGCCATGGCATAACTGTTAACAGACATGATCATGTCTGTTATACCACATGATCATTGAACATTTCTCTTACCATTGCCAGAGGAGCATTTTGTTTTTCAGTAAGCATATTGTGTTCTGTCTAGTGTTAAGGTGTTAGAGGTGTTAGCAACATGATGTCTTTAAAGGATCAGGAAAAGAAAGGAGAGTTATCCCTGATCATCTTTCAAATTTATTCATATGTTAAAGTGAGAACTCTTTTCATTTGTACATGCATCTGGCACTGTCAAACAAGACCATGGCAATAGCTACAAGTACAAGCCAGTGGTCTACCAAACCCATTCAAGATTATTTTAGTGCAACTATTATAATAATACTTTATTAAAAATGAAAAATCTGAAATAAAATGCTACACAATACAGAATATAGTGACTGCAAACTAAGTGAGGACTCTTTCAGGCAAACACAGAAGTAGCCTGACCACTTTAATTCACTTGCCTAACAGTTATTATGTAATCAGAATTATCCATATGAAACTTATTATTTAAAAACTATCTAAAAGCCAAAAGAGACTAGTGGTTTAGTAAACATTTTGCATTCAATTCTGGAAGGGTTTAAATTGTTTTAAAATTTATTGAGCAATTTGTAGGTATATAGTTTAAGAATAAACTCCATTACCCTAAAGAGAACAACTTGAAAAAAAAAAAAAAAAGAATAAACTCCATTGAGGCATCCCAGTTTACCAGCAAATCTTTGAAATATTAAACCCTCTATCGCTTTTTCCTATGAGAAACAGAACATAATTGGTTTTTAATCTTTGTTTTTTTTCTTTTTTTCTGATTTCAGAATATTATGGGGTACAAACATTTTGGTTACATGTATTGTTTTTGTACAGTTTGTGCCAATGTTATAAGTGTGTCCATCACCCAGATAGTGTGCATCATACCCGTTAAGGTGTGAAATTACCTAACTCCTTCTTGCCCCTCCCACCTGCTTGATTTCCATTGAGTTTCACTATCATATATGCATGTAAGTGTTGATTGATTAGTTCCAGTTTAATAGTGAGTACATGTGGTGTTTGTTTTTCCATTCTTGCAATAATTCATTTAAAAGAATGGTCTCCAATTCCATCCAGATTGTCACAAAAGTTATTAGTTCCCCATTTTTTATGGCTGAGTAGTACTCTGTGTACTCTGTACACATTTTATTAATGATCTCATGTATTGATGGGCATTTGGGTTGATTCTACATCTTTGTGACTGTGAATTGTGCTACAATAAACATTATAGTTCAAGTGTCTTTTTTGTAAAATGACTTTTTTCTCCTTTTCTCCCCAGTAGTGGGATTGCTGAATCAAATGGTAGGTCTACTTTTACCTTGAGATATCTTCATACTACTTTCCACAGAGGTTGTACTGTTTTGCAGTCCCATCAACAGTGTCTAAGTGTTCTCTTATCTCTACATCCACACCAGCACCTGTTGTTTTGTGACTTTTTGATAAAAGCCATTCTCACTGGAGTTGGGCAATAACAGATTTAATTCTAAGACATGAAAGTATAAGAATTCTGGAAGAAAATGTCAGAAAAGCTCTTATAGATATTGGCCTAGACAAAGAATGTATGAAGAAGACCCAAAGACAATCACAGCAACAACAAAATTAAATAAATTGGATCTGATCAAATTAAAAAGCTCTGAACATCCAAGGAAACAATCAATAAAGCAAACAGACAACCTAAAAAATGGAAGAAAATATTTGCATGCTGTATATCCGATAAAGGGCTAATAACCAGAATCTATAAAGAACTCAAGCAAAACAGCAAGAAAAAAATCAAACAGCCCCATTAAAAAGTGGGCAAAAGATATGAACACAAGCTTTTAAAGATATGAACACAAGCTTTTCAAAAGAAGAAAGACTAATGGCCAATAAACATGAAAAAATGCTCCAGGTCTCTAATCATCAGGAAAATGTAAATCAAAACCACAATGAGATATCACCTAACTCCAATGTTTTGTGATCTTTGAAACTTGGCCCTCAAATCAATGAATGCAGGGATTAGTACATAGCTTTTAAAAATATAAATATATGATTTGATTTGTTTCTGGTAATTGGAGCTTGTTTTCATTGTAACCTCATTTACCTCTTATAAATAATTAATGTTACTGCATTGCGAAAACAGCCTAGGTTTAATGTTAATCGGCACGGAAATCATGTCAGCTTGACTTACTCACTTAATAAGGCTTCCTGGGTAAGCAGCTTTATTGAAAACACACATTGGAACCTATTGGTCAACTGGCTGCCCAAGCCAACTCAGAAAATCCCACTTTTAATATGGATGATGGAGCTTGTGTGCTGAGCTGCACTTCTAACTCCGGCAGATATCCAGAGGGAGGGTAAAGGACCTAATTAACTTTCTGTTAAAGTAACACAGATCTTCCAGGGGCAGGTGTACTCTGAGGCCAAAGAGGATGGAATGGGTTTGGGAAACCTAATGCTTCCCATGTAATTATAACAACATTTGTGCAGCATTTTAAAGTTTACAGAGCACTTTTGCATCCATTAATTCCTATGTTCCTCATAGCAAAGCTTTGAGGGAGATAGGGATTACTATGCTCATTTTATAGTCAGGTCACTTTGGGTCAGGTAGTTTAAGTCATGGAAATGCAAAGACAAAGAGCTGGTAGAGCAGGACATAAAACCAGTTCTTCTGATTTCAAATCTTAGGTTTTATGTTTTTTTCTCTTTTCCACTACAGCTACAGGAAGGAAAAAAGGCACTTTGACTTCAGAAGATGTAGATCAATAGAACTAAATCAACAGCAGTGACCATTATCTAAAGGGAGGCTTGTTTAAGTGTTCTCCAAGGTTCCTCTTAACTTTCATATTCCAGTGTTCTTTCCTCTTCCAAATTTTTTTTCCTGTTGCTTTCACCCCTTTATTTCCCCCCACTTCCTTTTTCTTCTCCTCCCCTTTCTGTTATCTTCATTATCATCATTGTCACTGGGTCCTGCTTACATGCATGGAGAGGAAAGAAGGAAAGTGCGAGAGAGGAGAGTCCCCTGGATCTGAACACCATCTTTGCCTAGGTATTTGGTTTTCTTCACCATCCCCACCTCTGTACCTCTGGACTCTTGTCAAGATCTGAATATTCACCCCCATCAGTAAGTGGGATTGGGAGGATAGAATAGACCACCCTTTGCCTTTAACATATTTGATGGTTCCTGTAAGAGTCAAGGAGCTGCTTTCAAATCAGTGTGTTAGTAGGTAGGAAGGAAAAGAACCAACAGGCTTTAGCTAAAACAATGAGAAGGGTGACCGATTTTCACCTTTGTTCTCTTACTAATCATGGAAAGAACAGAAATGGCTCCAGTGTAACTTCCTCTGTTCATAAAGCCTTCCCATAGGCACTGGTTCATTAGCTCTAAGAGAATCTTATGAGTATATGGTGTGGTTTCAAAAAAGTGGAAGCTGTAATAACACAGATGTGAACTCTATTCCACATTCTTCTAAATCCTGTTTGTTGATTTCAAACACTTTATGTAAGCTCTCTATGTTCTTCCATTTCCTCTTTGGTAAAATAGGAATGGATATATTTTATGTGATTCTTATAAAATACACAAAAATATAAGAAAGGATTTTATAGTTTTAAATCCTATAAAACATTATCCATATATGTATTTTGTGTTTATTCTTGGGCTTTCTTATCTAGTCTATTGGATCACATTTGTTTGTTCAAAATTAAAAATTGTTTCTCACAGGTGAATAATGAAAATGGACTGTACTAACTAGTGTATATCTTATTATCTAGATGTTACCTCCTCTGATTGGCTCAGAGACCATCTGACAATTGTCCAGTAGCCTGACCTTTTCCCCATGGCAGGCTAGATAGCACAGACTCTGGAATCAGATCACCTGGGTTCAAATTTCAGCTCCACTACTTACTAGATATGTGAACTTAAGCAAGTTTCATAACCTTTATCTGCTTTAGTCTCCTCCTCCTTAAAATGGGAATAGTAACAGTCCTACCTCATAGGATTATTGGGAACATTAAATGAGTTAATTTATTTGAAGTACTTTGAATAGTGCCATACATGATAAATTTCATGTAAGTGTTAGTACTATTATCCCTAAACTTCGTCATGAATTTTTCTGGCCACTTGGACAAGAATAGACATAATTAGACTCTATTCTTAACATTGATTTCATGTCAACAAATACCAATGGCTTCATTTCAACATACATTTAAAAAAATTCCCTGATATTTCTACTCCCTTCACCTCCTAATGAAAGTAAATATCAAATATCTTGTTCTGCTGCAAAAGGTAAGGAAACCAAATTCTATCTGCTGCCTCCACTAGATGGACTACAACTCTTCCATCATATCAAAGAGGAGTCACCTTCCAATCTTCCACTCTGTTTTATAATTGGGAGAAAATAATTGGTTGGACACTCCTATTCAATTGCATACATTTTCAAGTTCATGAAGCTCCTGGTAGAATATAGGCAACCATTGGCACTTGAACATCTTTACCTTTGATTCAACAACATTGGGAATATGATTTTCCTGCCAAAACCAAATGGCAGAGATCTGAGGAGACTGTCAAGTGTCTCTCAAATGGAAGGAAAGCCAAGACTCCTCAAACATGCAGAAAAACAATTCTCTGACGTTTTCAACCTAAATATTTTCAAGACATCTAAAAGGTTAGCAGGGAAAAGAAGAGACAAACATGCAGTTTTATATTTGAGTATTGAAAACTTGTGTTATGGTGTTCTAAGTTTCGATCAAAGAAACCACCAGGGTTCTCCTAGAACAGGTACCTAAACCTAATGTAGCCTATTGAGGAGCCATCTCAAGTGTGTACTGGAAGAAGCATGAGACTAAGACCTTCTTCCACCACTCGCTTGTTAAATGAGCACAGAAAAATATTTTAATTCTTTTACCCCAAGATCAAATGGAAATAACATTTTTGTCTTTTCTACCTCATTTAGAAATTTTCACACAAGGCAAAGAGTTAATGCAAACACAAGTACTTTGTAAAATTGTTATGCAAATGTAAGGGTTGGCAATTGTTTTAAAGACGCTGTGTGGGAAAGTCTGTAGAGCTATCTCACAAAGTATCATGATATACCATCTTAAGGTTTCCTCAATTGTTAGAAAAGAATTAACTCTCAAAATATACAGGAAGTAGACTCCAATATGACAAAAATCAATGAATACTTGCTATGGGGGCAGAATCCAGCCCTTTCGCCCTCCACATGCAAACACATTTTGATCTTATATAGACCATTTTAGTGGATTTTCTTATACACCTACATGATATAACAGAATTCTCTTCTTTCTTTAGGATCCATTAGTGAAATTTCAAGTTTAACCTATTCTATTTAATTCAAAATATTTCTTCCACTATTTTCATTTTTTAACCTGTTCTAGCAGTGTTTGCTTAGGTAATGATTGTAACTACCCAATATTTTTACCACTGGGCCCAAAGTCATTGGCATTACTACCATGTGGAGCTGTTCTGGAATTCTTCTTACACTTTTACTATTTTTGTTTGTTTGTTTGTTTATCATGGAGAATTTTCAACTGATTAATAAGTAAGGGGCATTTTTATGTGTGTTTGTGATGGCTGGACAAGGTCTTTCCTCTTAAAAGCTAATGATAATCTCTTTGCTTCCTGATTCTATACTCTAAATACAACAGGAAGAAGACTAATCCAGCCCAGTTGCTAGGGAATCTAAGGACCAGATAAACCAATTTCTTTGCTCAGAGTAGCACAGTCTTGGCACTGAAAAGACAGAATACAAACCAAGGTGCTCACAAGTTGCACTACTTGGGAAAAACCAGTTAAGCTGTTCTGTACTCTTTCTATCTAATCTTTTATACTCTATTATTCCCCCTTTATTAATATATGCATGTGCATGTGTGCATACACACATATTTTATACAGCAAAACCAATCATACTTGAGTTGCCATAGCCCAGATCTTATAGTGAACTTTGTAAACAGAAGTTACTCAGTCTTTCAATTTTCCCTCCATGTCCTTTAGCATTTCATCTCTGGTTCCTCTGTCAAAAAATGAGGGAGTGCATTTTACATTTGCTGGTATATTCTGCATACACTTTTTTTGTGGGCAAATGATGGGTGTGAAGCAGAGGAGGAAAAATATACTTGGACTATCTTTCTCTTCTGATTTCCCATTGAAAGAGCTGGAGGAAAGTAAATTTCCCCCACTCCATCCCAATCATTCAAGGATTTTTAGCAAACCCATGGGTAATGGTGAAAATCTACCCCTATGGCTTCCAATATCTCCCATTCTTTATTCTATTTTCATTTCCCTTCATCCCCTTCCACTCATTGCATGGCCCTAAAATACTGTGAGCAGAGTGATATATTGGGTCAACTCTTCCAATCCACTTGCTGGGCCACCTTGGAAAAGCAGTTAAACTTTTGAACGTTTTTCAGCAATAGTAAAATGAAAGAATGAACTTGACAGGAATCAGGGAGGAGAGAGAATCATCTGTAATCTCCACTTTTTGAAAATGATTCAGAATATCTATGAGTTTCACTTTGCACGGCAGGTGCTATAAAATGTAATAAAATTATTAAAATTCAGTGTTATGACTCCCTCTGCTTTTGTGTTCAAGTTTTCCAAATCCTATTTCCTCCCTCCTTAGCCCAGAAGACACTTACTTCACCCCAACCGCTCCTCTAAGTCTGTGGGAACTTCCCAGAGAAACTTTAGTAGCCCCCTTACCACCCGGTCCGCTGGCTCACCTCTGTCACTGGCAGTTCGTGGAGTAAACTGTGAATCTGTGTCCTGGAGGACAGTCAGAGAAGCCAAGTTCCCCAGACCGTCCAGACGGTGGGAGAAAGAGGTACTTTCAGCGATCCATGTTAAACCTGATTGCTATCTCTTAGAGATGCCACCGGGTCTGGTTTCTCTAACTGCTACTTATTCTACTCCTTCTTTGGAGTTCTGTGCTCCTCAAGGACGCCTTTGGGCCGATGAGTCCGTTGCAAGTGGTTAGGTCGGTCTTCAGTACCTCTTCTCCCTGGTTAGCTCCCCGGAGTGGGGCTTTCAGGACCACAGCCTCTGGGCAGCTCCTGCGCTCTGGCCTGAGCCTCTGCCTGGCTGCAGTTTTGATTGCTCTCCCAGCTGACCAGGGAGGAGTGAGGCTGCCCAGATCTAACTCCACCCCTTCCCCAGCCGAAAGACACGCCTACTTCAAAGGGCTCCTCTGGCCAGGTCCAGCTTTGACACGCGTTTATTTGTTGTTTGTTTGTTTGTTTAAACAGGGATGGGGCTTGTTGGAAGGGGAATAGGGAGAAGAGTTGCTGGCTTTGAGGGGTAAAGAAAAAGGAATGGAAACGTTTGTGGTTAAAAAGGTAAGAAATGGGAGTGGAGCAGGGTGGGTAGAATGGAGAAAAAAAAAAACTGAAGATAGATTTGGAGAGCTAAGAAGGGCAAATGAAACTGCTAGCCCACGTCTGAAAATAATCAACAGATAAGAAAGGCACATGTGGAGGACTCAGCACCAATGACTGCTACCTTACCCGTGGGGATTGCTGTCTTTGGCTTTTAAACTCCAAAGTTCTATTTAATAAAAGTAGAAGGAAGAAGTAACTGCCTCTCTCTTCTTTTCAACATATCAAAAATGTTCCCATTAAAATTCTTGTGTTTTAATTTGTGAATATAGATGAAGCTATATCTATGTGTCGCACTGTTCTTTCAACTTTCTGTTCATTTGAAATTATAAAAACAAAAAGCAAATGAATAAAACCCTTCACCTTAAGGACATTTAGCTCCTTGAATTACAAACTGGGATCTAATATTATTTTTCAAAAATACATCATTAACCATTTCAGGCAGAAAAAGTCCACCCATTACGAGGTGAAATTAAGTTGCTGTCAGATGAAAAGAAGACTACATCTGCAACAATTTAAATGTATGAACATGCATACTACCTTATTTAAAACTTGACCAAGGGAAAATAAATAATTGTGAGTTCATTTAAAGATGTCAAGGATTTTGCAATCATCTGTTTCTAAGGAGGAAAAAGAAAGGTGATTGGGTTAAGCAAACGGCTGAATAATCTTGAGTAAGTCAACTTTATTCTGGGCATCAGTTTTCCCATCTGTAAAATGAGCTGATTGCTCAAGTGTTTTTCATCAGTAGCATGATAGTGTTCTGGTGCAAGCACAACTTATTATTTATTTATTTATTTATTTATTTTGAAATCGACTTGAAGGAAATTCCCCAGACTTTTTGATAATCACTTGCTCTACCAATATAACTCGCATACGTATCCAACAGAGATGAAGAGCTATAAATATACCTGTGTGCAAGGAAAGGTACAGACAGTTAAAAGATAATTTTACTGCCAATAAAGTTGGAAAAAAATGTCTTAGATTTGAAATAGTTATTCTTTAAAAATTTTGATATATGTATCATGTGACTCTCATTCTTCACAGAAAACCAGAGAATAAAAATAACACTTGTTTTTTTAGTTTTCATACGAAGTTTTTATTTTCAGCAAACCTTTCTTTAATCTCTAACTAATCTTTTTTGTATGCCTAGCCAGAAAATATCTGCTCATCAAAATAAACTTCATTTTCAGAATAATTAAACAGCACATGAGAGGAATGGTAGATTTCTGAAAAGCAAATCAGAATCCATTCCTCAGCCACAGGAACTTTATCTATGGGTAATGTGTGTTTAGGGTAGAGGTACATAATAGCTGTTCAATGAGCACTTACTGAATGAATCAGTCTTTTGCTTTGTGTTTTCAAAGCCATGTTCATGGATATTTAAAAGTTGATGGTATTGGTGGTGTTGACATCCTGCCTGTGAAATTTTTAGGGGCAGGGAGGAATAGCGGATTAGCAGAAAGGTGAACATATTGAGACAAAGATGAGGGTGGGGACAGAACAGGGCTCCTTGCTTTCTCTGACAGATGTAAGAGACTGGACACAATAGGATTAGCCTTCAGAATACATTCAATTGTGCGTGTGCATGTCTGTGTGTGTGTGCGTGTGTGTACATGCACACTCCTGCAGCCTTGGGAGGGATTTGAGGACACCACATTTTCTTTAAGAGCTGCCTTTTGCAGAGGGATGGGTGGAATCTATTTCATCAGGGCTACCCTTGTCACAACTCCTTGACAGTTGTACAGTTGGCTGTTCAACTCTGAGAGGGCAGGAAGGGGCAGGAGGGGCGTATGCTGCCAGCAGAGGAAAGGGGTGGTGACTGCCCTGAGAAAAGAGAATACATAGCATTTGCATTCATTCTCCTCTCCCCACATGGTTCCTGGGCCAGAGGGCCAGTCCCTAGCCCTTCCTTCTTTCTCTGCTGCTTTTTGTAAAGCTCTGAGCTAACCTGTTAGAACCATCTGCTGAGTGGGGAAAAGGAGACCAGCACTCCGTTGCTGGCCCACAGGCCTGACGCCCGGGAGCCATTGAAGCAGAGAGAAGGGAGGCAACAGGCAGATTTATGGGCAACAATCTGTTCCCCCCCAAGGCCCCTCTGCCTGGAGACAGCCTGATAATCCATCAACCCCACTAATGAATTAATTAGTATTCCCAGTAATCCTGACCCCCAAAGGAGACTTGCCCATGGGCCGCTAAGGGGAGGGGGAGCGGGTAGAAATTGCCTTCTTCAGCCAGACACTGAAGACCTGGGCCCAATGTCTGCCTTTAGGCCCCAGAGTGCTAAGCTGCAAGCCACAGATCCTGTTGCTAAGGGTCCCCAGATGTCTCTCTTTCTCACCTTCCCTTGGGAGATCACTAGCTTCTGCTGAATTAAAACCAATACCACCAACAAATGGAGTCCAGAGACATAAATCAGGAATTATAGAAAGTGGGAAGGTAGACTTCGAAGAAAGAAAGGATTCAAGCTGCCCATATTCAGTATAAAACTTGAGCGTATCCTAAAGCTGCTCTCCAAGGTTTAGGCACTGGGACCTGGGACAGGGTTGGGGTGGGGTGAGGGTTGGGGGGAGAAGATAAAGAAAACAGTCTCTCATTTCAAGAAGCTCAGTGCTTTAGTAGAGAAATGATACAAATTCAATAATAGTTGTGAAACATATTAAAGAAAATTGATTTGTGGCATTGATTCTCTCCTGAATAAAGACTCAAGCAAAACGCAGAAGTGTCAGCTGAGTTTCTGAGTTATCTGGAGGATGGCATCAGGGACATTCAGTAACCCTCCCTTAGATCTGAAAAATGCTTCATTCTTTTCAAAAGCTCTGAGATATAAAGGGTGGGGGAAAAAAAAGCTTAGAAGTAAGGAAACCTGTGTTATAAATCTGCCTCTGTGTGGCCGTGAGGAGTGACCTAACCTCGCTGGGCCTCATGTTCCTCATTAGTCAATAATCAGGTTGGATTATGATCTCTCAGGTATTTTACAGCTCTAACATTCAATGATGATGACATAGTTAAATGTCACAATTCTGCTTTGAGGATATAATAGGTTGGAATAGGTTGAACAGGTTGGAATAATGCCAACCTGTTCACAGGTATGCAGACTGAGTTCCCAGGTTTGAATACAGCAATAGAATAGGTTAGTGACAAAAGTAGGTCTAGAAACAAGGTAATAAATTTGAGTGTCCTCTTTGTATTTAGAATACTGGTCCATTTTGGAAAGGACACTTGATTCAATCTTCTCCCACCCCATTCACTGAAGGTCTGAGCATTTGCGCACTGACAGAGTATGCAAAGTGACTCCTTCCAGCTACACAAAACTCTCTGAATTTGTTTAAATTAGTAAACTTCTGTACTTTTAAAAATTCTATACCATCTGCCTTGAGGACCCTTCTCTGCACTTGCTATCCCCAATTCCTAAGAGCAAAATCCTCCAGGAGTCAATTAAATTCTAACATTGCCATCTACTAACCATGTGACTTCAGACAAGTTATTTATCTCACTGGGCCTCAGTTTCTCCACCTGTAAATTGTAAATTCTCCATCTGTAATGTATGCAAAGGACCTACTATAGGATTTGGCACTTAACAAGTGACCCATAAGTAGTAGTTTTTCTTGGAATTTTGTCTTTAACATTTAAATATGATTTTTCATCCCTTAGAAATCAAAGAAACCTAATATAAGGATTTCCTTTAGAGATCCTGACTTTGTGCTCCTATCTCAATCCAAGTATTCATTTATCACAATAATGATCCCAATATTATTAATTTACCCAACAAGTATATTTTATGAATATATAAAGCCCTAGGCACTGTATAAGATTCTGCAAATACATAACTGAATAAAACTCCTTATTTCTAACCAACTTTCAGTATAGTAGCAGAGGCAGAAAACTAAATATATAAATGTAATCCAAAAATTCCAATTCTCTGTGTTTGACTTCCTAACATAATCACATGTGTGCCCAAGGAGTCATTGTGGGATAGAGATGGTAATTAAACTATTCTTTTTAATAGTGAAAAAGTACCTTATCAATACATTAAGTAACCACTGGGTTAGCCAAGCAATGGAATACCATGGAATTTGTAAGAGATGGTCTATATATACTAGCAAGAAATGTACTTACTAAATGTACTAACATGCAGTGGGGGGAAATGCAAAAAAAAAAAAAAATTGGAAAACTACAGGTTCAATATGATGCACTTAATTTAAAAAATGTGCATACATACATTAAGTAATACATGTATTTCAGAGATATATGTCTGATTATATATATATACACACACATACACACACACAAACTGATAACATGTGTCTTTATCTTGAGATATCTCAGAACTGATGATATAAAGTAGTTTGAGCATGGGTAATTATCAAAGGAAATTGTTTTCTTTTTGTACAAGTATAAACTATTCATATACAGTTGTTTCTCAGAATAGGCAAGGAATTGCTTCCAGGACCCCAGCATATACCAAAATTCATGCAACTCAAGTCCTACAGTCTGCCATGCGGAACTCACGTGTGCAAAAAACCCATACATGCAGGTTTCATATCCTGTGAATACTGTATTTTCAACCTGAGTTTGGTTGGAAAAAAATCTGTGCATAAGTGGATGCACCCAGTTCAAACCTGTGCTGTTT